TGGCACAGGTGCATCCACTGTATGTGTTCTCACAGATTCTAATCTTCTGAATTCTTCATGTCCCTATCCTTTTTCTCTTTCCTAATTTATCTCACTGGATTACACCCATTGAATAACATCTTCAAACCCTAATCATTCCGACTACAGCATAAACTCTGAATACTTTTACCAATATGGGATTTGAATCGACAGCTGCATCTCTGTGCTAATGTGGTTTGGCAACTCCAACTGATGTACGTACGTACGTACGAAGTTCTGCGTTGTGACTGACTGACTGATTGAAATGTCATTGGTTGGTTGCCTCTTTCAGGTGATCTTCAAACATATTTTCAAACATAGCAGGCATATGAACATAACAAAAATCCTCGATGAATTTGCTTTATACATTGTTAAGGACTTTTTTTCACCTTGGATGGTTTTCTAACATTTGATTTGTAATGTTTAGTTTCTTTTTGTTGTTTGGACATTGACACTTGACTTGACGATTTCGTTCTCTCTATTCAGAGTAGCTCCTGTAGGAAACTTATTAGAAGGTTCAAAATGCATATTCAAAGAGCTGTTTACTTGTTCTTAACATCTTTGTTCCTTAAATAGTCAACTCGTTGTGTATATTCATGCATATTCGTTACAGATCACTCAGCTCCACTTTCCTACGAACATATCTAAAATGTGCACTCTTAGTTGTTAAATTATTCAACCTTCCGAATTGTCCATATTGTACTTATTTTTCAGAATATACCTAAAATCTCTACACAGTGTTCAAGTACAAAACTACAAGTGCACCGTCTTCATAAATTGATCATTTTGTCTTTAACCTCTTCCGATTTTTGAATCCTTTGTTTAGACACGACAAGAAGCTAGTTGGTTGGACGGGAAAATGAATTTGGATGGTCATCGGCGAACGGAACAAAGCAACAGCAACATAAAGACAAGACAATCTGAACTATTTCGATGCGTCTCAACCCTGTTAACTAAAGGGAGGAGACCCAGTTCAGATGAAGGAGAGGTATATTCCACAGAACCCAGAAGCACAAACAACCACAAGCACATAACTGAAGCCTATATATACAACATAAAAATTTCCTTGAGAAATGTCACAAAATACCATGTTAGAAGAGGCAACCAACCAATGACATTTCAATCAGTCAGTCAGTCACAACGCAGAACTTCGTACGTACGTACATCAGTCGTCTTTCCTTACTATAAGAGCCATGAAATTCAGTATAGTAATCGTAAAACAAAGTACAATCGAAATCTCCATTCTTCATAAACTTCATCGTTCTTTTCCAGCCGTCCTGGGAAAGAAAATAAATAGCACGTGTGAGTGCATGTCGAAATACACTAGTACTTGAGTAAGGACACAAGGTGAGCGGAAAACAAGGTACATAAACTAATAGGCTTGCAATAGCGTAAAAGCGATTGAAAAAATTGTTTTTTTTTATAATAAATAATGCGACAGAAATTCGAGATAAAGTTTGTGTCCTACGTGCAATAGTCGTTAAATGTTCTGGAAATCCTACTCTTCTTCCAGAACGCCTTTTCTTCAGACGTTGCCGTAATTCAGGTTGAACGAAAACACCAGTTGATTCTGGTTTTATTGAATGCATTGCGTCTGTAAGCCTGTTCGTGTAAGATTTTAGATCCATGTTCAATGAAGACGAAGGACCCACGAAGTCTCCTGGGAGTCAGAGTGTTGTTCCATAAACGAGTTGTGATGCAGTGTCATGCAGTTTCATGAGAGATGCGCATTTAGGTGTTAAGCGTCTATAGAAACTTACAAGGCCGTTAAAAGTGCGCAATTTCCTAGTGGTGGTCGGTTCTGGGTTATCCAGAATGGCCATCACTTTGCTTCTAAGAGGTCGAATGCTTTGCGTATCAATAGTGTGTCCAAGGAATTCTAAGGATTTGGTTCCCATTTGACAATTCTGAATGTTGACAGTAATGCCATGTCTTTGAAGTCGTTCGAAAACAATATCCAGATGCTGGAGATGTGATTCTGTCTGGACTTGCTATCAGACAGTCATCAGCATACGCATGTACGAATTTGAGACCTTGGAATATCTTTGGAAGGTTTGACCAGCATTTCTTAGACCGAAGGGCATTCGTAAGAATTAGTAGAGGCCGAAGAGAGCGATGATAGCGGTTTTTGGAATGTCGTCAGTAGCCATAAGTATTTTGTTACAAGCTTTAACCAAGTCGATTTTCGAAAAGACAGTTGTACCTTTCAAGGTAGCTGTCAAATCGTGAATGTGGGGCAACGGGTATTGATCAGGAATGGTTTTAGCATTCAGGTGAGGATAATCATTTGGACGCCAGTCACTGCTGTCCTTTTTAGAGACCATGTGCTACTTGCCGGTCGAATGATTCCCAAGTCTATCATGTGATCGAATTCGTTTTTAGCCAACAAGACTGAGTCTATCCTCCGCTTACTATCTTTGCCCCGTGTTTGCGCGTTGTGTTCTGGATTACCTAATCCATATACATAATGAACAAAAGAGGCGTGAGGCCTTACACCTCTACCTACACGACTAACATCGCCACGTAAAAGTGCCTTAGATGAGGCATAACAATTTGAGATATAGGATACTAGCAGGTTTGGCGCTCCATATGCCCTCGCCACCATTTTTATTGTCATGGAATACTGAATCAAAAGCCTTCGAAATTTCAATGGACGTCATCGCATTCAATGTCTGGAAATGCCAGTCTTTATTAAGCTGTATGCTTCTTTTCCGATGTACGTAATGAAATGAGCCACAATAAGAAAATCCTCAACATCTTCCTTCGTCATGCTCCATATCTCAAACCTTTCAAAATAATCTTCAAAAGCATCAGAAGTTGAATGAATGTCCAACTGTTTTATCGCATGCTCCATCGCGACATTAATGTAATGTTTAAGAGTATTTGAACAACGGTACAAACTTGTAATCCCAGCAATAACGCTACTTAATCAAGAAGTATTAGATGAGCACGAAAAAATGTATTGTATTTGGAATTCAAAATCACAACAGTCATCAATGCAAAGAAATTGGTGGTTCATATTAAACATCACAAAGACTCAGTTTGGGTATAGCAACAGATAAGGTTGATAGTCTGGTTGGTGATTTTACTATGTATCTTAGTGGTAGCTATTCTACTATCTATTTCCTTAAGTTGGTTGCAGCAACCATTGATTTGTTATTAGCGGTGGAGCTAACACCGGTGTTCTGGTAATGTAGGGTAAGTTTAAGTTAGAGTTGTTCAGAAGGTAATATGTTTTCTATCTATCTGTCATACATATAATCATTCGCCTTACCAACTCAATAATAAGTACACTACACACAATATTCCATGTGGTCGAGAATCACTAGTAGGTAAGTGATCATCCAACGTGCGGACACCATACAAACTTGGAATACAAATATTTTTAGAACTTTTTGCACAACACATCACCGACTGTTTCTCATAGCATATGCAAGCATTACAACACCGATTCAATAATAATCACATTACATAATATCATATGAATTCATTCTTCTTGTTTTATTGAATGATTTGCGAGTGTTCCTTTTTTGAGTGATGTTGCAAAGATTATATTGTGTATGTTATATTCTTCAGTGTTCGTCTTAGTTTTGTTTTGTATGTTTTATATATTAACGATTTCTCATCCATCTAACATATCTTTCCCTTTAAACACCATAGTTGAAATCATGAGTCAATGGAAGCTAGACCACTGTGGAAAATATGGAAGCACTGTACGGCCGTCTGGTCCTATTGTAGGACTCATCAGCAATGCGCATCCACGATCCCGCCTGGCGAGATTCGAACCCTAGACCTACCAGTCTCGCGCCAGAGCACTTGACTGATAGACCACTGAGCCGGCCGGCATCTAACGGTGTTAATGTCTAGCTTCAACCAATCCACCACGTTGAGCAATCATTTCACCAATATCTTCAGTGAGTTGATATCTCCTAACAGACCTGGTTGAACTCCACCGGTTACTGATTCTCACTAGAACTCCAGGAAATACCTCATGGAACCAATCACTAGTGAGCATATGATAAAGGGGTTTTATTATTGACCATAATGGTAATATTACTTAAATTGCACAGTATGCTTGTCATAATATATATAGAATAATTTCAGGACATATCATCATTAACCGGAAGATTCTAGCTTTGCCATTGATGATATACATGATATCTGGATTAATTTGATTTCCTACAAGCATATTAGTATTGTCATTCAATAAATAAAGCTTTTTTTAAATAGAATTTAGCATGTACATTGATATTCCTTTACAGCTTTTTGGATCATTGTGGAACAATCAATTAAATGGAATTCATCACTGTACATCAACTTCATTGACTACGAGAAAGCACGTGATAGCGTGGACAGGACAGTACTACGGAGGCTTCTTAGGCACTACGGTGTGCCTGAGAAGATAGTCAATATCATACGGAATTCCTATGATGGATTAAACTGCCAAAATCGTTCAGGGAGAACAACTCACCGACTCATTCGAGGTAAAGGCCGGTGTTAGGCGACGTTGCTTACTCTCACTCTTTCTCTTTCTCCTGGTGATCGACTGAATTATAATGACGTCAACATATGGGGGGAAGCTTGCGATATAGTTAAGAGCGGGGATGCAGCTGGACGATCTAGACTTCGCAGATAATCTGACTCTTCTATCACACACGAAACAACAAATGCAGAAGACGAGAGCATGCACCAATAGAATTACACTTGATATTCCTTTACAGTTTTTTTTAGCAGATACTACTTCAATTCTAGACAAAATGATTCATTGGAATAGGCGTCAATTTTTTTCTTTTTGCCAATAATCATAGTAACTCCATAGATATCAGAAGTGTATATTTGAAACTTGAATAATAAACTTCATATTGGGCAACAAATAAAATGGTAATACAATTTCTGATGGTATCATTCAGAACTGGAAGGAAATATAAGAATGCATCATTTATACATACAGATATATATGACAAAGCAATAAAATCCGCTGATTAAAATCTATTCAAATCTTCAGCAGTTAATTCAGGAATTTCTATTTCTATAATTAAAACAGTATTAAGATAAATGTTTAGTAAATTAAAACGTTTATTTTGTTAAATTTTAATATTTTACCAAATAGAGAACAGAGACAAACTACAGACACACGCACACACAATTAACTACTACTGACTGACTTCAAGGCGATGGGAAACTTTGTAAAGTTTCTAATGATCACATTATGTTGCGCAAGCCCTCAAATACCCTGGTACGGCCGAAATGCTCTCGCACGGCCATGCGTATACAATCTCTACCACACAAGTCCTACTTATTGCCTTCTCTTGGCGTTACTGTTGTTAACGAAATTCAGAGGACGAAAAGCGAATGTCCGGCACGCTAATCGGGTTGGTGGACACGGGGAGCTGACCGAAGGGAAATGATATCAACCATTACTATACAGGCCCCCTAAAGCCCTGGTACAGCCGAGAGTGGGTAGAGTCAGCTCTTTCTCTCCAAATGCTCTCACATGGCAACGCAGATATAGCCTCTGACAGGGAAGTCCTACTGACTGCCTTCTCGTGGCATTACTGTTGTTTACGAAATTGAGAGGACGGAAAGCGAATGTCCGGCTCTCTGACCAGGTTGGTGGATATGAAGAGTCCACCTAGGGGAGTTTGAAAACCCTGATTACATACCAATCGTGCACATGGGCTCCAGTATCCTGAAGGAACAAATGGTGTATGAATCGATCGTTGGTCACCGGTTACTATCTTTTTACGATGCTCCACTGATGTGTGGCTCATACCGTTAGGTCAGAGGCTCAGGGTGTGGACCCCTAAGAAAACCACCTGCTTTGGTCTAGGCACCCGAGCAGCATCATAGCCCTCACACATGAATAAATGAAATGAAATCTTGTGTGGCATATATATATCTGGTGCCCCCTTGTACCAATATTTATGTATTGAAATAATAATGTTTCGTAATAAACAATAAAAACTCAAAAGTCACAACTAACTTCCCTAAAATGAATTAAAAATATCGAATAACTAACTAACTAACCAAAATGTGATTCCAATTCTTTGATCAAATACATTTCATCATTTAGAATAAAATTAACTGCTACACCTTCTTTACCAAAACGACCAGATCTACCAATACGATGTAAATAAGTTTCCCAATCAGCTTTACCAGTTTTTGTTGTTGGCATATTCCAATTTATTATTAAATTCACTTGTGGAATATCTAAACCTTTAAAAATCAAGTATGATCAAGTATAGAATGAAAATAACAGATTGCTAATACACAAATACATCAACTAATCATATGCTTTAAGCAAGTGAATATCAACATTGAGATGCAGGTACACCCAGTTGACGACTCACAAATAGGGTGAAACACGCGTCCAACTGGATTCCACTACCAGCCATTATCCATATTTGCTTATAATGCTTGTGAATTAAGGCCATATCAAGGCAATACACACAGTATGAACATATGCCAATAAGTGAGTGTTATAAACGTAAGGATGCCGTCACTAATTGTTATAAACGTAGAGAGAGAGAGAGAGGATGCTGGTTATAACTTTAGGGGTTTCTGGTTATAACAGTCCTTTTACTTCTTACACGTATGTGGGACGTTAATTTATCTTAGACGAATATCTACACTAGATTCCCACCCAGTGTCTATTCTACAGTACTTCAACAGAACTCAGATCAAGAACACAAGATTAGCCTGACTATAACGTCAATATATTTCACACCAAAATCCGACACAAGGAACAGTCAATCAATAAGTGTCCATCAACAAGGAACAGTCAAGAAGTCAATACATAATAAGGATAGGGAAATATATATATAACACATAACACCTGTCATCCCCTCTAATGTCTGACTCATCGAGACAACCAATCATTGACATTCTCGCCCACACACCAGTGAGAGACTGACTAGTAGCAGTCTTAAACACCAATGAGAAGATTCAAACAGATAACAGATTAGCTCCTATGTCTATCATTAATTTCGACATCATATAGATCCTAAGCATTTAAAAACAATAACATTGATTATTTTTAAAAAATCGGACAAGAACTCCCCCTTCTAGCTCCTCCGGGGGCTACTGCCGGTCCCAAGCCCGGGTAAACGAGGTGGGTTGTACATGGGGTTAGAAACCCCATCCCATAGAAAACCAACTCGCTATAAAAACGCTAACCAGAAAAAATTATTTAAACCATCTAAACTCTGCCCTGGGAGTTGAAGGAATAATTATGACGTCTCATGATGAAAGCCGAGTTCCTTCAGAAGTCATGAGGCCGATGCACCTTCTAACAACCAGAGCGACAATTTTTATAGGTACGTGGAATGTCCGGACAATGTGGCAGACTGGAAGAGTCTTCCAAATTGCTGTACCATTAATTTCGACATCACATGGATCCTAAGCATTTAAAATCAATGACATTGATTATTTTTTTAAAAATCGAACAGTAATAGTGTAGTGAACAGAAAAGACGAGTGGGGAACACTCGAATGTCTTTAAGCACAAAATTACAGAATATCTCAATCTTGATTGTTCCTTCTGTAAATATCATTCGATCGTCTCTGATTTCATTGTTCACGCATTTTCATACCGACTGCGCTTCGTTCCTGTTCTTTCCTTATCGATCTTCTGCCAAAGTAAATTCTATGCCTGACCATCACCATATACTACTTATGTGGATATACGTAACCCGCACCACAATAGTATGCGTTATAGATGATAAACACTTTATACAAACTGTTATTATGTATAAAATGTCATAACTTAATACAGCCTGTTATGCCCTAACGAAAAATAGGTGGTATAGTAACTAAGTCATTATTTATGGATTGTTATTATACATATTTCTTATAGTATAGCTACTAAGTGACTAGATTATATGTATTTATATTTCCATCATTATAAAGTTTTATTCGACCTGTTGACTACTATTACTATACGATTTACTATTTTCAAGTTATTCTCAATGTATTAGTCACAGTCTCTCACATTCACAGTCACTTTTGGCATGATCTTCTAAAATTGTAAGTTTATATTTTATGGTTTGATGAAATCAGATTTCTTTATATATAAACTGCGTGTTTCTTTGATATACACGATTCCTCTAGCTGAGGCTGAGATGGTGTTCTGAACTCAACCGGCAGTAGTACAGTGGTGTGAGCTACTGATATCGACATAAGTAGTATATATGGTGAGTAAGGAATAGAATATCTGACAGCAGAAGATTGAGAAGATCATGAAGAGAAGAACAGAAATAAAAAGCAATTTGTGTGGAAAAATCCAGGAACATTGAAGCCTGAGGCAATTGAAGAACATTTTGCAAATAGTGTATCATAGCATGGTTTTTCTATTTTACCAAGTAACGTAATTTGTGCTAAATATATAGTTGGTTGTCCTCACCTGTGTTCTCATTCACAACATTTGGTGTCGCTGCCTCCAAGGATGAAGATCCCATGACCGAAGGAATTTGAGGACGGAGATGTGCTGAGCTTCCTAAAGGAGTTCGAGGCTGTGGCGGAGCTGGTAGGAGTGAAGGAGCCGAAGGCGAAGACGGTGGTGCTGGGGACGCTGCTGAGAGGCAGAGCGAAAGCTGTATATGACGGCCTGGGCGGCGCGGGCGGTAAGACGACATGGGAGGCAGTCACGGAGCGGTTGATCGCGGAGTTCGATAGCCCAGTGGACAGAGAAGAAGCACTGCAGAAGTTCCGAGTGGCGAAGTTGCCGATCGATGGTGATCCGCTGGTGCTGGCCGTGGAGCTTATCAAGCTGCTATGTCGCGCGCTGCCAAATCTGGATGAGGAGTCGGAGGCACAGTTGTTGGCGTCGCAGTTTATCGAGAGCGTGCCTGTTGCCGTTTCCCAGCAGCTGAGACTGATACACGCCGCGCAACCTATGGATATCAGTGAGCTTGCGGAGGTGACGCGACAGTTGATGACACGAACAGTAGCTCCGGTCGCGTGCGGAAGTCAGGAGATAAGCAGCATTGAGAAGAAGATTGAAGAACTACAGCACGAGATTGCGGCATTACGAGTGATTCGTAAAAGGAATGATAAGTGTTTCGCATGTGGAGGGACAGGACACTGGAAGATAAACTGTCCAACACGACGAAAACGGAGATATTTTAGACGTTACGTGTTTCCTTCTTACTCTAGGGATCTGGGGGTTGTTGCATTAGTAGATAGAGGGGCAGTCTATGCAAGAGTGAACGTAAATGAACTAGATTTAGTGTGCCTAATCGATACAAAGGCAGCAGTTTCGTTAATAGGTAAAGAGCAATGTAAGAGATTCAAGCCGTGTAAAGTCGCAGTTCACACTATAGGAGGGCATATGTTAGAGGTATTGGGCGTGTCTAACAGTATCGTAAAAGTGGATGGTTCGGAGATAAGTTTTCCGTTCGTGGTAACCGCAAGCCTGTCGAGACCAATATTAGGAGCAGATTTCCTAAGAGAAGTAAAAGCCATAGTTGACCTAAGAAGCGGTAAGGTGGTCACGAAGTACGGTTCATTCCCAATACATGAAAGTAGCGAGGTGGCTGAGGTTAGAGTGGCAACAGCCGTTTTAACGAGGAAACCAAACATCACCGAGTTGTGCACAAAGTATGCGAAACTGTTCACTGGAGAAGGAGAACCGTACGGATTTTGCGACAAAATAAAGCACGAAATCCCGATAAAGAACAATAGAGGAAGTATATTCACAACACGTCGTGTCCCGGTGCACTTAGAGGCTGAAGTAAATCGACAGGTCCAAGAGATGCTGAAAGAAGGAATAATTGAAGAGGCGGACAGCCCGTATAGCTCACTGGTACTCTTGGTAAAGAAACCGAGTGGGAAATATAGATTTTGTGTTGATTTTAGAGAACTGAATAATATAACAGAACTAAAGCCGTGTGGAATGCCAACAGTAGTGGAAACATTAGATCGGCTGCAGAATGCCACGGTGTTTACAGTGTTGGATTTGCGGTCAGGTTATTGGCAGCTGCCTATAAAAGAGAGCGATCGAAGCAAGACAGCATTTACCATACGTGATAAACAATATCAATTTAGACGAATGCCGTTTGGATTGGCGGGTGCACCATTTACGTTCAGAAGATTAATGTCGCTACTGCTCAGGGATCTAGATAATGTCAAAGTGTATGGCGACGATGTAGTTGTATACAGCCAGACAGAAACAGATCATGTCAAGCATGTGGAAGTGGTCTTAAAGCGAATTGAAGAATTCGGACTTCGAATTAATAAGGACAAGTCACAGATGGCGAAAAGTAGCATCACGTTGTTGGGGCATAAAGTGGGAAATGGAGAAATAAAACCACTGCCGGAGAAAATTCTGACTATAAAGAACATTGCAGTACCGAATTCGAAAAGGAAATTGAGACAGTTCCTGGGAAGGGCGGCGTTCTACAGTCGGTTCATCAAGAATTTCAACGAAATAGCAGCACCCCTTTATAAGTTGCTGAGTAACACTAAATTTTCGTGGACTGAAACCGCCCAACAAACGTTTAATCAAATCAAAAACATGCTGGACGATCGCCAGATGACGCTCAGACTGCCCGAACTGGAAAAACCGTTTACAGTGACAACAGACGCAAGTGACCATGGTATAGGTGCCGTTTTAAGTCAGTCTGATAGAGTGGTGGAATACGCAAGTCGCGTTCTCACGCCTGCGGAACAGAAGTATTCAACAATCGAAAAGGAGTGTTTAGCGATTGTTTGGGCAGTAGACAAGTGGAGACCATATCTGTTAGGTAGACGATTTCACATCGAGATTGACCATAAACTTCTGCAGTGGATACAAACAGCACGAGACCCACGTGGAAAGTTGGCGCAATGGATGATACGTCTGCAGGAGTATGACGTCAGTATCGGGCATGTACCAGGGAAGGAAAATGCAATGGCGGACTACCTGTCAAGACCAGACATGGAAGCCGAGCTTCCATTGACAGCATATGCAGTGAACAGTATAGAGGGAGACCCACTAGAACTCATCCGGCAACAGAAATCTGATCCTAAACTTCGAGAGGTTATCAGAGCGATGAGAGAGGGGGCAGATGTTGACAAACGAGCAATGGACAAGGAGGTAATAATGTTGCTTCGGCAAAAGGAAAGACTGAAAGTGAACACATATGGAGCACTGGTCTGGCAGGATGACGACAAAAATTGGGTGGCTGTGATCCCGGAAGACTGGCGGCGTAAGATGATACACGAATGCCATCAGATAGC